CAGTTCTTGGTCAAAGAAAGCAAAAGAAGTTGCATGTGATTTCCTATGCTAGTAAATTGATGAATGATGCTCAAATGAATTATGCAACTACTGAGAAGGAATTGCTTGCTGTTGTTTTTGCTTTTGATAAATTTAGATCATATCTAGTTGGTTCAAAAGTAATAGTTTACACTGACCATGCAGCAATCAAGTATTTGTTGGCTAAGAAAGATGCAAAGCCAAGACTTATTCGTTGGGTGTTGTTATTACAGGAATTTGATTTAGAGATCAAGGATAAGAAAGGGCTTGAGAATGCAGTAGCTGATCATCTGTCTCGAATTGTAATGCCAGCAGAAGAAGTAGAGCTTCCAATCAATGAAGAATTTCCTGATGAAAGAATTTTAGCTCTCTCTTCGGTTCCATAGTATGCAGATTTGGTCAACTATCTAGTAAGTGGTGTTATACCCCCTGAATTTGGCTATCAGCAGAAGAAGAAGTTTTTATGGGAAGTAAAGCATTATTTCTGGGAAGAGCCACTACTTTTCAAGTTTTGTGCCGATGGGATTATTAGAAGATGTGTACCAGAGGATGAGTTTGAAGATATACTTATACATTGCCATTCTTTAGAGTGTGGAGGCCATTTCAGTTCATCTAAAACTTCAGCAAAGGTTTGGCAGTCAGGATTCTATTGGCCAAGTATGTATAAAGATGCCAGAAAGTTTGTGGAGAAATGTGACAGATGTCAAAGAATGGGTAATATTTCCAAACGTAATGAGATGCCTTTGAATGGTATTCTGGAGGTCGAGCCTTTTGATGTCTGGGGTATAGATTTCATGGGCCCGTTTTCATCTTCTTTAAGAAATCAGTATATTCTGGTTGCAGTGGATTATGTGTCAAAATGGGTTGAGGCTATAGCAACTCAAACTAATGATTCTCGTGTGGTGATTAAATTTCTCAAAAAGAATATTTTTACAAGATTTGGTGTTCCACGAGCTATCATTAGTGATGGAGGTACCCACTTTTGTAATCGGAATTTGGATGCGCTGTTGAAGAAATATGGTGTTACTCATAAGGTTGCTCTTCCCTACCATCCTCAAACCAATGGGCAAGCAGAGTTGGCAAATCGAGAACTGAAGAAAATTCTTGAAAAGACAGTAGGGCGTTCAAGAAAAGATTGGTCCATGAAATTGGATGATGCTCTGCAGGCGTATAGGACAGCATTCAAGACACCATTGGGTATGTCTCCCTATCGATTAGTGTTTGGGAAATCATGTCATTTACCAGTGGAGTTAGAGCATCGAGCTTATTGGGCTGTGAAAGAGTTGAATATGAATTTGAAGGCTGCTGGCGAAAAGAGATTATTGCAACTCAGTGAGTTGGAAGAGTTTAGACTGGATGCTTATGAGAGTGCAAAGCTTTACAAAGAGAAAACTAAATTTTGGCATGATAAGCATATTCAGAAGAGGGAGTTTGAAGTAGGTCAGAAGGTTTTACTTTTTAACTCGCGACTGAAGTTGTTTCCTGGCAAGCTCCGTTCAAAGTGGTCTGGACCATTTACGGTTACGAAGGTGTTTCCATATGGTGCTGTTGAGATTTATGATGAGGCACATGGTTCTTTCAAGGTTAACGAGCAGCGATTAAAGTTATACTTTGCTGGAGAGAGGGTACCTCAAGGAGTTCTGTACTCTTTGGGTGAACCTTCACTTGATTGATCAGCCATATAGTCTGGCTCATGACTTTAAAGAAGCGCTTATTGGGAGGCAACCCAATTCTTTATTTTGCTTTATTTTTCTTTTTCTTTCATTAATAAGTTGATGGTTAAGTTTTTTGTTCCTGATTATCTGGAGATCTTTGATTTCTGGATTTTCGTGGTTTTTCTTAATCATCTGTGTTTAGGTTTGATTTTCTAATTTATTTTAGTTTGCAATTAGGTTTGTTGGACGGGCGAAACTCTGGTGTCCAATGGTGCTGAAAATGAAACATCCAAAATTCTGTAGAAGTTGGTCGTGTGTTTGAATGGCAGTTGCAACAATTTATTCAACAATTCCGGTCCTCCGCTTCACATTCCCAAGGTTGTGTCGTTTCTTTTCATTCTTTTTGTTTATGTCTTTTCTTTTCTTTACACTTGGTTGTGTGTCTTTTGTGTTTTATACATTGAGGGCAATGTATACTTTAAGTGTGGGGGAGAGGAATGCGTTTTATATTTATTTTATGTTTGTTTTTCTTAAATAAAAAACCCATAAAAATTGAAAAATTGAAAAATCCAAAAGGCCTATGATGAAGTTGGTTTGATTATCTATAACATGTAAGAATTAGGCTAGTTTGACTTGTATTGCTTAACTTATGTATTTCTATATGTTGGTTTGAATACCCTGTTTCTTTTGCACTTAGTCGTGACTGTGGGATAAGCCTAAAGTGAGATATAGTTGCATAAGTTTGATGTAGATATGCTATGAAAAGTTGTGTTTGATTCACTCATATTTATATGATTTGTATGTGGAACCCATTATGTTGTGAAGGAAAAGCAAGGCATTAACCCAATATCAACCTTAAAAAACCTTATTGCTTTGACACTTTGTGTTAAGTAAGTTTGGGGGAGGGGTGTTGGCGGATGCTTCTGAGGTTAGGTTAATTTTAATGAGGGAGAAAAGGAAGAGCATTCAATGTTGATGCTAGCCCCTTGAGAGGTGAGGAATTGGCAACCTGAGCGGAGAGTCCTCAGGCCCGGTGAGGAAAATAGATGTATAGACTGCCCTAAGTTGCTGAGCCACTATGTATAGGAGTGGAAAAATGCTCTGGGTAGTGGCCTGAGTTGGAAAGAGTCCTGAAGAAAAGCCGCATGGACCGAAGAATGGGTTACGAGGGGGAATAGGTTGTCTGTGAGATAAGTCCTTCTACTTCATAGTACGTCTGGTGGTCCATTGCATTGAAATATGGTATGAAACGTGAGTCTGTTGTTAAAGTAAAATGGCATATTTGCAGTAGAGCTTTTGTTTTCTATGTTAAATGTAAAGTGATGTCCCTAAGAAACGAAGCACACAAACAAAGCTTGGGGGCTAAAAGTAGCTATGGTTTGCATTGTTAGGTAATCCATACTAGAGGTAGTTGAAATCTTTGTGTTATATGATGTGATTGAATCTCTGAGGCCGCCAAATTAAATAATTAAATGTTTTTGTTTGTTTAATGTTTGGGATTGCTTGAGGACAAGCAATAATTCAAGTTTGGGGGTATTTGATATGCTTATATTTTACCTATTTATTATATCCCTAATTTGTGATTTTTGCAATATATTTTGAGTACAAATATGCTATTTATGTGATTTTATCTTTAATTGTAGGAATTGTACTCAAATGAAGAATTGTTGAAGTTTTGAGCTAAAATCGAATTAAAAGCAACTCAATGGGAAAGAATTGAAGATTGAAGCAATTGATGGGGAGGAAATTAATGAGTTTAGAGAATTGGAGGGCCAATGATGCAATTTTGGATTGGTTAATTAAGTTTTTGGAAAATTGGCCGAAGGTTATGTTGGTTATGCGGCCGATTTGGGATTGGAATTGGATAAGAATTTTAATCCCGATATTAATTGGGAAACAAGTTTTCTTGTTCTTCAAGGAGTAGGGTTTAGCCGGAAGCCTATAAAAGGAGGATTAGGGATTTATTTTTACAACAGAACTGAACCGAAACTTGACCGAAAACCACCGAACCCTACACCTCCATCACCGCCGCTCTGCAACTCCCTCCTCCTTCTCCGCCTTCCTCTTCACCGCCGTTTTGCTTCCATAACCACCACACCAACCCTTCTCCACCTCCACTGCACCAGCCCTTCGCCACCTTCTTCCCCTTCTCCGCCGCCGATCACCACCAAACTCCCTCCTCCTTCGACGGCAGTATCAACAGCGGCGACTCATCATCACCGAACTCACCCACGAAGCCATCATCACCATCACGCAGCAGCATCCTTTTCAATTCCTCCGCCGACCTCCTCGCTCACCCTCCACGCAACAGCCTCCTCGGCCGCTGCAAAGCTCTTCACCGCCGACCACGACCTTCTTCATCTCTCGCGCAGCATCATCATCACTTGGCGCAGCACCGGCGAAGCGAGCAACCGAGGGGAGTTTGGCGGGATTTTTGGCTTGATTCGGTTTTGAAGTTTTAATTTATTTAATTTATTTTTTTTTATTATGTCTCTAAATATTATTGAATTATTTTTAATAATGTTTAGTGGCTAAATTCCTTTAATCTAGGGCTTGGGTGTAGCCACCGAATTTATTTGGTTTATTTGGTTCATTATTATTTGATTTTTCTATTAATTAATATTTGTTATTCTTGTTTTAATTCGTGTAAGTAATTGGCCACTATTTGCATGTCTGAAGATACTAATTGAAGTAGCGAGAGTGGAAGATTAGTATTAGTTCGTAGGAATAATAAACTTAGGTTGTAAGCTACGAGTAAGATTATAACCTTTGCAATATTTGATTCTTAATGATCTTAATGTGCTTTTGTTAATCCCTATAGTCACGAGAGTAGTCATAGGGTTAATCTAAGTAAGAGAATTATAACACGAGAGTGTATAGTTCTTAATTAGGTGAATCGTTGTGAGATTAATGGAAGTTAAAAGTCAGATAGTTATGAATTGAATTAACCCAAATATTCGGTAGGTGAACCCAATGTCCTAGGTTTTCTTTGTCTGATTACTTAAATTAATATTATTTGTTTTTATTTTATTTATTTATTTTAGTTTTAAATTTATAAATCTGAGATCATTATTTATCTAGATAATAATAGGAGTAATTTATACCTGGTAATTAGTATTCCTTCTCTGTGGGATCGACCCTGCTTGCTACTTTACTACTAGTAATTGTATTAAGTAGGTAATTATTATTTGACTAGTGTGACGACGGCTTGTCACACATATTAAACAGAAAACAAAGAAAAACACAGAACTAACAAAAAATTCATTATTTTAACAGAAAAAAGTAAATTGCTAATTAAGGGCATTAGAACAACACTTCCCTGAGTGTTCATTGAGGCATGCCATGGAGTGGATGGACTGGTGGATCATGCGGCATTGGGCAATTTTCAGGGCATCCAATGCACTTGTGCATTTCCTGTAGGAATTTCTCCGTCCTCATCTGGCATTGGTGGACATAATCCAGGATGAACCCGGTCTGCTTGTTGAAATCCCTCTGCCTCAATTGTCCAGCTAGAGTAGGAGTGGATGTTGCTTGTCCTGAGGATGAGGCACCTGGGGGTTTCTGGTCCAACTTATGCATCCTCAATGGTTGCTGCAAGCTGCTCTCTGCGTCTATGTGTAGGAAGGTCACCCCTGCCCTCTTGCAAAGCATGGTGATCATAATTGGAAAATACCAGCTCTTCACCCTTGGATCAGTGATGCATCTAGTGAGTTGATCTCTGATGACTGAGGCTGCATCAAATGGTGTATCCGTGAAAATGGCATACAGCAGCAGAGCCATCTCATAGGTGACCTTAGCGGTGTAGGATGTTGGCATTAGATTGCAGCAGATGAAATGGTGCCACAAATTCAGATCAGGCGTCTGCAACGCGTTTGCTGGAAATCCCAGAGGGTTTTCTTGATCATCCATCTCCCAGCTTGTGCCTTCTTTTGCCAATCTAGACAGAACGGCTTGTTCCAGCGGTTGATTCGGATGCAGGGCAGCAAGGGTTTCCCTGTAATCAGTGCTGACTCTTTGTAACTTCCAGATGGCCCTAATAGCTTCTGTGCTGCAATTAACACTGATGCCTCTGAAAAATACTCCGTCTTTGGGGGCAGTGTGGAAGTTTCCATAGAATTCTTGCACTATCTACATCCTAGGCTTGACAAGTGGGTTGGAGAAGGTCTCCCAACCATGGTGCTTGATATAGGCGAAAGTTGCGCCGTCTTCACCGATTCCCCTTTCGGTAATAATTTTCCGTTGTATGTGCTTCAAGAAGAAATCCCAGCCCTTCTTTCTTGGAAACAATCTTGGCTCCCACTCGTCGGTGATGGCATTGAGGGCTTGTTCTTGGAAAGCCCTTCGTGGTTGTGGCGGCGGCAGTGGAGTAGGTTCTCTGGCAGGGGATGGTGGTGGGGTGGGCATTCTTTGCCTTTCAGGAGAGGACGAGGATGAGGAAGAGGATATCTGTCTTCTTGTGTTGGAAGCATTTTTGCAGGCAGCAACCTTTCTCCTTGCCGGTGGCATCTTGTACAAACCCTAGGAATCGAATTGGCAAATTGAAAGAGGGGTTTTTTTATTGAATCTTAATTTTTCCTTAGTTGCCTGAAAACTCAGAGAAATTGTCAGTATGTTCACATAGGGAAGTGGTATTTGAAGAGGTGGTTATGGAAATAAGGAGAAGATGAAGAAGACGAAGCAGTAGAGGAGTTGTAAATTAATGCACAGCAGTTAAAATTTTTGGGAAATCGTGGCTGACTCGAGTGACTCAAAAAAGCAGGCGCGGTTAAAATTGAAATTTGAAAATTTCTGGAAAAACTTCCCCCCCAAACTTAAGCCATAAATACAGCTCAAAAAGGTGAGCTTTTGCAGAAAGTGTTGTACAGTTGTTCTTACTCAGGCGAGTGGATTGTCCCACTTGTGCGAGTGACGTCAGGGTTAGAAGACTTACAAAATTACTTTCCCGTAGGTTCACTCGGCTGAGTGACCTTCTCCACTCCTAAGAGTGAGTTTACCTGAGGCCTTTTATGTTATACTTTCTGAAATCCGTTGGGGTGGCAAATACCTTGTCCATTCCTGCAAAAGCACATTGTTAGCCACACAAAAGCAAAACGTATGGGTTACCTCCCATAAAGCACATTGGTTTTAAATCTCATGCCAGACTTCAAAAGAGTTTTCAGTTAAGTTCCCTTAGGACCAGAATATGATAGTTCTGTCCTTTACTCCCTTTTGTCCATCCATGGTATGGTTTAAGCCTCTGACCATTAACCAAAAAGGTGTTGCAATTCTGTGGATTCATGATCTGTACTGCTCCTTGAGTTAGGACCTTGTTGATTCTGTAGGGACCGGTCCATCTTGACTTCAACTTCCCTGGAAAGAATTTCAGTCTAGAGTTGAACAGCAGGACTTCTTGTCCTTCTTGCAGATCCTTTTTGACGATGTGCTGATCATGGTAGGCCTTAGTTTTTTCCTTATAAAGCCTGGAAGATTCATATGCTTCTAGTCTGAATTCTTCCAGCTCGTTCAATTGCATCAGTCTAAGGTCCTTGCTTCTTCTTGGATCAAGATTCAGTTCCTTGATAGCCCAGTAAGCTTTATGTTCCAACTCCACTAGTAAGTGGCATGCTTTCCCATAGACCAGTTTGAACGGGGACATACCAATGGGAGTCTTGTATGCTGTTCTGTATGCCCATAAAGCTTCATCCAACATTGAGGACCAATTCTTTCTAGTAGAGTTGACAACCTTTTCCAGGATTCTTTTCACTTCCCTGTTTGACACTTCTGCTAGCCCGTTTGATTGTGGATGGTATGGTGTTGATACTCTGTGCCTGATTCCATATTTCTTCACCATGGCTGCAAATGACTTGTTACAAAAGTGTGATCCTTCATCACTGAGTATCATCCGGGCGTACCAAACCTGGCAAAAATGTTTTTTCTTAGAAACCTGAGAACAGTCTTAGCATCATTGTTTCTTGCAGCTACGGCTTCTATCCATCTTGAAACATAGTCCACTGCCAGTAGGATGTAGGAGTTCCCAAAGGATGACACGAAGGGGCCCATGAAATCTATCCCCCATACATCAAACAGCTCTACTTCAAGCATGTTCTGCTGTGGCATCTCATTCTTCTAGGAAATGTTTTCTGTCCTTTGGCACCGGTCACAGCTTTTGACAAATTCGCGTGCATCTCTGAACAGAGTTGGCCAATACAGTTCAGCTTGCAGAACCTTGATTGTTGTTCTTTGACCGTTGAAATGTCCACCATAGGGAGAATTGTGGCATTTGTGCAACACCTCTGTGAACTCAGATTCTGGAATACACCTTCTGATCAATTGGTCTGCATATCTTTTGAATAAGTAGGGTTCATCCCATAGGTAGAGTTGAGCATCATGAAGGAATCTCTTGCGTTGTTGAGGGGTAAAATCAGGGGGAATAACACCAGCAACAACAAAGTTAGTAAAATCTGCAAACCAAGGCCTGTTACCTGTCACTCCCATGAGTGTGCCTGTCACTCGCCAGAGTGACTCATCAGGGAATTTTTCTGAAATTGGAGTTGTGTCTTATGGAATTTCTTCATGTCTTGACAGATGGTCTGCTACCTGATTCTCAGCACCCTTTCTGTCTCTTATCTCCAAATCGAATTCCTGCAACAACAATACCCATCTAATCAACCTAGGCTTAGACTTTTTTTTATTGATCAAGTACCTTATGGCAGCATGGTCTGTATAAACTATGACTTTCATTCCTAGCAAATAAGCCCTGAATTTGTCAAATGCACACACAATTGCCAGCATTTCCTTTTCTGTAGTGGTGTAGTTGATTTGTGCAGGGTTTAGGGTTTTACTAGCATAGTAAACCACATGTAACGCCTTTTTCCTTCTTTGTCCAAGTAAAACACCAACTGCAAAATCACTAGCATCACACATTAGTTCAAAAGGTTGTGACCAATCAGGTGTGATGATCACAGGTGCAGTGATGAGTTTCTTTTTCAGTTCAGTAAATGCAGTTAAACAGGATTCATCAAAAATAAAAGCAGTGTCCTTTTCAAGCAAGTTACACAAGGGTTTAGAAATTTTTGAAAAGTCTTTAATGAACCTCCTGTAAAATCCGGCATGGCCTAAGAAACTCCTCACTCCCCTGACTGTGGTTGGTGGGCTGAGCCTCTCAATGACTTCAATCTTTGTCTTATCCACTTCAATTCCTTCCTGTGAGATCTTATGCCCCAAGACAATTCCCTCAGTCACCATAAAATGGCATTTCTCCCAGTTGAGGACTAGGTTTGCTTCTATGCATCTCTTCAATATCAGTCCAAGGTTGTCTAGACATGCATCAAATGATTTACCAAAAACCGAGAAGTCGCCCATAAAGACCTCAATTATGTCTTCCACCATATCAGAGAAAATGGCCATCATACATCTTTGAAATGTTGCCGGTGCATTGCACAGTCCAAATGGCATTTTCTTGAAGGCAAATGTGCCATAGAGGCAGGTGAAAGTCGTCTTCTCTTGATCATCAAGGTCTATGGCAATCTGGTTGTAACCTGAGAAACCATCAAGGAAACAATAATACATGAATCCAGCCAATCTATCTAACATTTGATCAATAAAGGGAAGGGGAAAGTGGTCCTTTCTGGTAGCTTTGTTAAGCTTCCTGTAGTCCATGCACATTCTCCATGAATTGTTCAGCCTTGTAGGGATCAGCTCTTGGAGGTCATTTTTTATCACTGTGATTCCTCCCTTCTTGGGCACGCATTGCACTGGACTCACCCACTTACTGTCAGATATTGGGAAGATGATTCCAGCATCCAGCAGCTTGATAATCTCCTTTTTCACCACTTCCTTCATGACTGGGTTGAGCCTTCTTTGTCCTTCAATGGTTGGCTTGGCATCGTCTTCAAGTAGGATCTTGTGCATACATATGGAAGGACTGATGCCCTTAATGTCTGCAATTGACCATCCAATGGCTTCCTTGTGCAACCTCAGTACTCTCAGCAATTTATCCTCTTCAGTACCTGTAACCATAGAAGAAATGATCACAGGTAAAGTGTTACTTGCTCCAATATAGGCATACTTTAAATGTGAGGGTAGAGGATTAAGTTCGAGATGAGGTGGTTCTTCAATTGAAGGTTTGAGGCATCTTCCTTCCTTGGTTAGATCTATCAGTTCAAAGGGTTGTTGTTTAGGATGCCACTTGAGGGAGTGGTTCAGGTAACTTAGGCAAGTGGCCCTGTACTCATCCCCTCCTTCCTGTTCCTCATTACTGTCTGGGCATAAGAGTTCCTTGAGGAGATCATCTTGCAGTAATTCTTCTGTCACTGCTTCTTCTGCTTCTACACTTCTTACCATGTAGCAGTTATGGACTTCAGCAGGATATCTCATATTTTTGAAGATGTTGAAGGTAACCTTCTCTCCATCAAAGTGCAGTGTGATTTCTCCCTTTTTCACCTTAATGATTGCATCACTTGTTGCCAGAAAAGCTCTCCCCAAGATGATGGGCACATCCCTATCTTCTTCCATGTCCAGAACCACAAAGTCTGCTGGGTAAACAAAATTACCAACCTTCACAAGAACATCATGTAAGATTCCCTTTGGGTAGGTCAGTGACCTATCTGCCAACTGCAAGGTCATGTTAGTAGGTACCAGAAATTTGTCCAGATCAAGTGATTTAAATATAGACAATGGCATGAGATTTATGCTTGCACCAAGATCTAGTAATGTTTTTGAAAATTCTCTAATTCCTACCGTACAAGGAAGAGTGAAACTACACGGATCTTTTAGCTTAGGTGGCAATTTTCTCAGAATAGCTGCACTACATTCTTCATTTAAAGTGACAAAAGCATAGTTAGGCACTTGTGGTTTATTTGCCACCAAATCTTTCAAGTACTTGAAGTATTTAGGCATTTGTTTAAGTGCATCAACAAGTGGTACATTAATATGTATACTTTCTAAGTTTTGAATAAACCTGTTGAGCCCTTCATCCATTTTGGTCTTCTTTTGTCTTACCGAATATGGTGGATTTGGAGCTGGCTGTTGTGGTTCCTTAATTGGTGCTGGGAATTGAATTTTCTCCATTCCAGGTTTTTTAGCTGTTTGCTCCTGTTCAACCACATCATCATTATCAGATATTTTCTCAGAAAATTTTCCATTCTTACCTACAGGGTCACTCACGGGAGTGACTTTTTCACTTGGCTGATTGAGTTGCTTTCCACTTCTGAGAGTGACAGCCTTTGCTTGCTCTTGGTCATTCCCCTTGGGGTTTACTACTGTATCACTGGGCAGGCTTCCAGATGGTCTTTCAGCATTTTGTTTTGCAATCTGGGCCAACTAATTCTCCAAACTTTTGCAAGACACCGCCAAATTCTTGATTGCATTTTGCACAGAAATCCATTCATCTTCCCTTGGTATGTATTGCTGGTTAGAACGATGCTGATTCTGATAGTTGGGAGGTTGACCTTCTTGTCTGTGAAATCCTGGGGGTTGAGCAGGCCTCTGATAGTTTCCTTGTTGTGGTGCATTGTTCCAGTTAGGCTGCTGTTGATTTCTCCAATTGTTGAAGTTGTTGAATCCTCCAGCATTGCCCTGTCTGACAAACTGGACAGCTTCCATTTTGGAGGGACAGTCATCCAAACTGTGGGATCCGTCACATAATACACACACTTCAGCCTTGGATTTGGACAGCTCACTCCTGAGTTTAGTCATTTCATTCATCATAACAGCCATTTGTGCTTGCAAGTGTGTACTGGGGTCAATTTCCATCACTCATGGGTATTTTGTACTTGCCCTTGGATCAGATTGCCACCTTGAATGGTTGGTGGTTATATTGTCAAGCAACTGCCTTGTTGCATCAACCGACTTCATCATAAATACACCACCAGCTGCAGCATCAAGGGAGTCTCTTGTAGTTGGTAGCAGCCCGTTGTAGAAGATGCTCAAATGGAGATGCTCTTCCAAACCATGCTGAGGGCATTTTCTGACCATTTCCTTCAGCCTTTCCCATGCTTCATAGAGTGTTTTTGTTCCATGCTGCTTGAAGTTCATTATTGCTGTTCTAGTTGTGCAGCTTTTGCGGGTGGAAAGAATTTTGTCAAGAAACACTACCTTAGCTCTTCCCAAGTGGAGATAGAGTTGTTGGGTAATGTGTTGAACCATGCTTGGGCGTGATCCTGCAAAGTAAAAGGGAATAACCTCAGTCTAATGTCATCATTAGATAAGCCTTGAATTTTAAAAGTACTGCATAAACGCAGGAAACTTCGGATATGATCATTAGGATCTTCATGAGGTAATCCATGGAATGGGCAGGCTAATTGAGTCCATTGGATCATCTGTGGCTTTAACTCAAAATTGGTTGCCTCTACATCAGGGAACACCAAAGGGGATTGGACTTCTTCTCGTTGTGGGATGAAGAAATCTCTAAGCAGTCTCTCTGGTTGATTTTGTTGATCCCCACCAGGGTTTCTATTGTTCTCCGGGTTACCACCTTGGTTAGCCATTTGTGATGAACCTTCTTGGTTGTTCAGTTGCAACCGGTTCTTCCTTCTTCTTGTTGCTCTGGTTCTGCGTATGGTAGCTTCAATTTCTAGGTCAAAAACAAGTTCACTACATTGGTGCCTTCTAGTCATACACCAGAGAAAAGAAATTGGAAGCTTAGTGTGGTAACCAGAGAAGAACTTTATATATGTACAAACAAACAAAAACAACAAATTTTTGGAGGTTTTACGCCGTCCCTGGCAACGGCGCCACTTTCTGGTGCGTGCCGAGCTCACCAAAAATATTACTAGCTTAGATTATGAATTTTTGTAGATAATGGAAGCTAGGTCGATCCCACGAGGACAGCTAATTACCAAAATTGTTGTAAAAAAAAGGCTACCAGTCAGACAAGGTGTCACTCAGGGGAATAGAAACAGTCACTCAGGGGAATGAAAGCCAGGGGTGTTCTTCTCCTCTTCCTACTGTTGTAGTTGTTTTATTAGCAGTGTAATGGTTGAGTTCTTGTTCATTCAGCTCACTTATAATTCTAAGTCAGTTCCCATTTTTCCTAGAGTCATCTTTGCAACCTTAACAATCTATGTTCCAATGATTGATTCCAGATACAAAGTCATTAAGTTCTTAGGCCTTCAAGAATGCTTATGTTAACTAAGTATATTCCTATCTTAGTTAAAACCATAGACTGTTACCTCTATGTCATAAGCTAAAGTTGAAACAATCCAAACCAAGTTTATCTTTCCAGATCTCCCTTAGTTCTAGCATGCATTCAATTTAGTGATCAAGTAAATAAATGTAGAAAAACTTTCAACTTCAAAACAAGGAACAACCAGTGCATTAAACAACTATAACATAGGTTGAGGAGAATAACCCCTGGAAGCTGCTTAGCTACTCATACAGATTAATGCTACATCTACTACATCAACAGACATCATAGAAGTATACATAATAAAACGAAGTTCAAGCTAACAGTTAAGAGACGAGAAAAAAGCTTGTGCAGTTTCTGAGCCACTCCTGGGAATGAAGGGGTTCACTCATGGAACTGAAGCAGAAATTGGGATGGCTACTCTCCAACTTGGCTTCCTTACTGAGTTGTTGTTGCTTCTTCTTCCTTCTTGCCTTCTACCTGGAAGTTTTTCTTTGTGTTTTTGGCAACTAAAAGGGTAACCAGAGATAGATTCCTTTCTGAGAGTGAAATTCCCCCTTTTATAGGGCCTTGCAGCCGGTTCTTTCATCATGAGAGCCTCCGCATTCTTGTAATTTGTCTACCCAATGCCTTGTTCCTGGAATCCAAGCTTGGCTGTTCTTCTTCTCTTCTTCCAGAAGTGGCAGCATTGCTCTCATTGATCAGCAGGGGTGGCTGAAATTTCGGCTGAGGGACAAGCATGCCTCTTGGAGGAGACATACTCATTAATGGCAAGATGCTTCTTGTCTAGGGAGGTGCTTCTTCGTCCAGCTTAGCAACATTACCTCAGCAGCCCACAATTTGTTCCCTTGGCCTTAATTTTTCAGCAATTGTGCAATCAAACCCCAACCTAATAAAAACGCAAAAACTAGTTAAGTAGAATGCACTAATAATAGGAAATACCCCCCAATTTCTTACTAATTATGTAACAAATAAACCATTATCACTCTACTCTTTGCCATAGTAAAGAACTAAGTTGAAACTAAAAACTAGTTCTATAAGTTACTATGATAGAAAGTATAATTTATTTTCTTTTTACATATAGCTACTCAAGTATCTACCGTCAACAAATTGTAACAAGAATCATAGGTAATTTGATAAGAGGGATGGATGGCCAAAAGATTCAAGGTTGTTTCATGTCTATAACGAGTTTCGAATCCTCAGCTCTACTGTTAATAGTGCAGGAGTTCACTCCACTCTATCTAGAACTTTAGATAGTTATTAATTTCAAAAAATTAGTTCTCACAAAAATGATGGAATCAAATTTTTCAGGTAAAAAACATATAAAATAGGCATTTGGTAAAGTACAAGAGATCAAGCTGAAAGAAGCTTAGATGGTACAAAATTATTGTAGAAAAGATATATAGTAATGATAATATACGATATTTGAAAAGCATAGGCATACTTCCACTGTTTTCTATATGGAAGTACAAATGTAGGAACTTGTAAGACAGTTGAGTTTTGAGCTTAATGAATTTACTTTTTACAGACAAAAAAGAAAAAGAAAATTCACATCACACGAATATCCTTCCACGAAAGTTGCTCTACAGCATGCCCAATCCATATATAACCCATTTTAGTTGCACTATACATGCCCTCATAAATTATACCCGGGATCGGACAAGCCCAATTCTTTGCCGACACACATAAAAAGAAAAAAAACTTGAACTTTTGCTTAATATGAAATTTAATTTTACTGATAACAAACCCATCCAAATTCAAGCCCAATCCAGACACGAAGGTACAGGATTTAAGTTCTAGAGTTCTCTCCTTGGGAGTTTTCTCTAAGAGTTCAATTTCGTGCCGAGTCTTTCATGGAAACTCTTTCCATGGATTGATAATTCCTTTTCATCCTCTTCAATTCAAACTTTTAATTATGTTGTCCATTCATCTTTCATCCTGTTATCCATTCATCTTTTCAATCTTTTCCCATGTCATAGTTTGTTCCAGTTTTTTTTTTCACCTTCTAATTTAATTGTCTTAGAATATCATATCTAGGGTACTTTTGTTTCTTCCATCATCAGACTTGTATGTTTTCAATCCATTTCTTGTTTTCTCATATTTTATGTTTTGTTTTCAGATCTTGTCAATACCGTCTAGTTCGCATTAACAAACTTTGCATATCCTTTTCTCCCTTGCGGTTAACTTCCTAGTCTGTTTGTATTGATGGCCATGGAGGAGGAGTTAGAATCTATCATTGGTCATCTATCTCTTCGGGATAATGAAGTTGTTCGACATTTCACCAGTTTATTGAATATCACCCGCATCGATCATTTCCACACAATTGTTGGCAAGCTCCATTGCCCTAGAGTGGTTTCCCATTACTCTATTGGTAATTGTCGGAACATTTGGTCCATTCATCATGGCTTCACAGTACGTCTGGTGGGGGAAAATATGGTCCACTTTAAGTTTAGTGATCGGATTGACAGGGCGAGAGTTTTACATGGTGAACCATGGCTGTTATGCTGGAAGCATCTCTTGGTTCTTAAGCCTTCTGATGATTTGAATGTGGATTTTAATTTATGTCCATGGTGGATTCAATTTAACCACTGCCCGTTGGATTTGATGAATGAAGACTTTGCAAGGTTTGCAGGAAATCTCATTGGTCAATATATGGACGTCTTCCGTGATGGTGATCGAAATTTCATCGTTCGATTTCTTCGCATTAAATTTAATATCAACATCACAACTCCTTTGCTGAGGGTTCTTCAATTCGAGCATGAAGGCAAGGAAATCAAAATACCCCTGAAGTATGAAAGATTGTCGGAGTTTTCTATCATTGTTGAATAATCGGACATATTGAAAGTGGGTGTCCAACACGGCCAACTGTTGCCAGAACCTCTGCGGATCCACCGTAATATGGTAGTTGGCTCAATGCTACGGGTTACTGGAATCCGTTTGTGTCACGTCACCCAGCTCAAGAGCCTGACCCTTTCCACGTCCCTGATGACTCGGATGATGAGCATGTCCCTTTTCATGAACGTCAGTCTCACTATGTAACCACCTCTTGAAGATCACCTGCACCACTTACCACGTTCCTAATACTTCTAATTCTAATCCCATAACTTCTCTCTCCTCATCTCAACCTCAATCTCTTGTGCATAATTTCTTGAACCCACTCATCCTGTAGATAATCTCACTTTCTCTACAACTCCTATCAACCCGCCAAGCCTGATCACCAATAAATCTAGTCAACCACCAAAACCCACTCAAAGTCGTATCCTTCCAAAATCACTTTTGGTTGACTCACAGTTATAACTAACCCCTCCTAAATCAGCTACGACTCACCATACTCCCCACAATGGAAACCCTAACTCTACATCCCCGCCCCATCCATCAGTCACGTCCTCCTCTCTCACTGTCAATCAAGCCCCAACCCAAACTCATTGCACTACCACTCCTCCACACCAACCAGACCCAACAACATCTCTTCCAACCCTTCTCAGTCCATACTTAGTCAATGTCCCCATGACGCTAGACTCTCCTGCTAAAAAGGCGGCCCCTCATTTTAATATGGCGCGTCGTCGAATTCTCTAGAATGTTCCCATTAATGATTCCTGCTTAATATCTGTCAAACGCAAACTGGTTCTTGATGATTTTGACGGTGAACATTTGCATATGTTGGATGTTGAAATAATAGGCAAGAACCCCCAACTTGATGACCACGTTTCCTCTGATATTTCTTCTTCAGTAAGTTTCTCTATGGATGGCGGTGTGGTGGAGATTGAGCAATCATCCCAATCCTGCCCAGCTCAATGAGTCTTCTAAGTTGGAATTGCCGGGGATTGGGTAGTTCCCAGAAATTCAACGAATTGAGCAAAATTGCTCATGAAAAATCCTCTCTGATCCTCTTTTTGTGTGAAAATAAAGGTGGCCAATCTCATATTGATCGTTTGAAGAATAAGCTGGACATGTTTGGTGTTTGTGTGGAGGAAAGTGGAAATTCAGACGGACGGGCCATGCTTTGGAAAAAAAGACGTTTCAGTTTGCTTGCGTTCTTATTCTGATCGTCTAATTGATGTGGATGCTGATTGCAAGGTCATATAGTTCGCGTTACTGGCATTTATGGACAATCGGATGTGTCCTTAAGGAGAGAAACATGGAATCAGTTGCGCTCTCTCTTTGATGAAGAAAGGAAACCTTGGATTGTTTCGGTAATTTTAACGAAGTCTTATCGCAAGATGAATTCCAGGGTAGTCGTCATCGAGCAAACTGGAAGATTAACTGTTTCTGCGAATTGCTTGATCACCTTGAGCTTCAAGATATGGGTTACACTAGTTATAAATTCACCTGGCAGAGACTCTTACCGCACCCACACACTCAAAAAGCTCGTTTAGATCGATCCACTTGCAACTCTAATCTGTTTCAGGACTTCCTTTGGAGTTCTATTTCCCACATTCCTATGATCATTTCAGACCACATGTTACTATATATTCAACTCAGGGAGCGTCAAGTTAATTATGGTGCTGTTAGAAGACGGAGACCTTTTTGTTTTGAGGCTCACTGGGTGAAAGTGGCAGACTGCGAAAGAATCATGCAAGAAAATTGGAACTATGATCTTACTTCGTTGGAGGATAAATTGGAGCATGTTCATGTAGGTCTTCTGAACTGGAGTAAAAATCATCAATCAGACTTTGAGAAAAGGATTGGTTTTTTAAAAAAGAGATCGTATCTCTTCAACAGGGACGAATTGATAACCCGCAGTGGATCAGGCTGGGAGAACTCGAGAAGGAGTTAGAATTGTTGTCGAAAAAAGAATCTCGGAAATGGCGACAAAAAGCAAAGCAGCATTGGTACACGAGGGGGGGGGGGGACCGTAACACCAAATTCTTTCATAGCTTTGCTAACAAACGGAGGTCAATCAACCATATTTCTGGTCTTAAAGACAACATGGGAAATCTGAAGCATGACTCAAGATCTGGAGAACATCATAATGGATTACTACGGGTCTCTTTTTGCCTCTTCTTGTCCGCTTGAATCATAAATACAACAAGCAGTTAGTCGGTTAGCACCAAAGGTGACTTTGGATATGAATAGCTGATTAATGCGAACTTATACGGCTGATGAGGTTTTAAAGGCTCTCAAGGAAATGGCTCCATTCAAGTCTCCTGGTCCGGATGGTATGCGTCCATTCTTTTTCAAAAAATTTCGGCATATTGTTGGTAATGATGTCACTTCTTTTGTATTGGATTTTTTAAATTCTGGAAACTTCGAGTCTCACATGAATTACACACGTATTGTTTTAATTCCAAAAGTACTTTCCTTCGCAAAAATTCTTTGTGCCAATCTCGGTGTTCGACCTTCTTGGACTTGGCGTTCTATTCTGGAAGGACGAAAGGTGCTGGAACTTGGTCGTAGAAAACAGATTCGCAGTGGTTTACAAACACAAATATGGCATGATAAATGGATCCCTCTTGAGCCTTCCTTTCGGACCACTTCAACGCCACAAATTCTGCTTGATACAGGTCCTGTTTCCGCCCTGATTCTCCAAGATCGAGCTAAATGGAATAGGGATCTAATCACAACCACTTTTCCGAAAACAGAATCTTCGGCAATACTGTCCATGGCAATTCCGCATTCTCTAGCTTCCGACCGCTGGATTTGGCATTATACCAGGAAAGGTCATCATACGGTACGATATGCTTATTTTCAACTTTTATATTCCCCGTATTTTAGCCAGCAATGTGGTAGTTCCTCAGTCATGCCGATTGGAATCCAAGACCCATTGTGGAATAAACTATGGAACATTAATCTGCCAAACAGAATACTCTTATTCCGATGGCGGCTCTGTAACAATTCTCTTCCAACTCCAGCGAATTTGGCCTCTAGACACCTGAATGTTGACGCCACTTGTGTCTTCTGTCAGCTATCTTCAATGAACAATTGTCACATTTTCTTTCGACTGCCCTTTTGCCTCGCGGACTTTTTGGATTGCGGGCCTTCATGATAAAATCCTTCAGCAGCAACGTCCTCTCTGTGACTTGTGGATTCGTGCCCTGGTTCTGGATGGTCGATTTTCATCTCCAGCTTTCTTTCTTGCTCGATTTGGCAAGCGAGAAATTCCCTACTGTTTGATCAGAAAAAAACCACGCCATGGTCAGTTGTATTGCAGGCTAGTAGACTAATTCGTGCTTTCATGGATATACGCAAGAGTCGGAATCAAGATGATCAGAATTTGAGGTCGATGCAGCTCTTTCATCCTCCTCCACCGAACGTTGTTCGCGTCTTTTTTTATGGTTCTCTCTCGCATACAACACACAGCGCTGGAGCTGGTATTGTGAAAAGCCCTGAGGGTCAGTATATGCATAGTCTATCCCGGCAGTTTCTGGCCATCATTGATTCTAACTTAGCTGAAGCCCTAGAAATGAGACAAGCTTTATTATTCTGTCGACAGCTAGGGTTAACAAATGTAGCTAGTCATGGTGATTCATCACTCATCGTTTTGGCGGCTTTGGAAGAGGTTGATGGCCCCTCCTCCTGCTCCCCCATGTTGGAAGACATAGTCTTCTTATGACGTGATCTACAAGTTACTCATCTATCTTGGATTCCTAGATCGAATAATACAATAGCCCATTCTCTTACAAAATATGCCAAAACGACTTCTGTAATCGAAACAATTTGGAGCGAACCTCCAACCCTTGTACCTCAATTGGTGTTGGACCATTTCCAGTAATCTTTAATGAATCCTTTGTTTCTCAAAAAAAAAAAAAAATCAAGCCCAATCCATCAAAGTTTAATTCTGATCCGTGATCGCGACAAACTACAAGTTCATAATGATTTGAATTAATTCAACGGCAGCCGGGAAAAACTATTCATATTAATGCTTATTCAAAAAAATTATCATTATTTGTGTAAGGCAAAATGGAGGAAGGAATAAGTAATTACTTAGTCTATATATATATATATATATATATATATATATTGTCGAGGGTAAATCCCGGAGACGGAGAGTCAACGGTCCGGCCTAGACGGGAACCTGCAAAACGGAGGTTAGCACTCCGAATGTCAAGTCAGTTCTAGGGAGAGAAGTAAATAATTGTCACACTTAGAGAGAGAAACGGGAGTGTGGAATTGAATCTGCAATAAATGAATCAAGGAGTATTTATAGTTCCCCAATGGGACAATACCTGTGGGCCTCTATGTCAAGAGGGGCAAAAGCATAAATAGATATGTGTCAATTCTTTGTGAACCGGTTTGGCCCAAAAGAATTAAATAAATAGACGACATGGGCCTGTAGGATGAGCCCAAGTTGAAGGGCAAGTTGGGCCGGCCCAGATGGGTCAGGATTGACCTCCAACAAATGCCCCTGTCAAGCCCATTGCAGCAAAGTTGGATTGGGCTTGACATAAAGAAATGGCAGGCCCAACACACCGGCCCGGTTTCTGGATTCTTCCATCTCATGGCCGCCCGGGATCCAACGGCTCTGGGTTCTTCCCGCCCAAACGAGATGGATGCACAGGATTTCATGGGAGGCCGCGCCACAATGATGGCACCGGATGGGAACCGAGGCGACTGTTCACCTTCCTTAGGAGTATATAAACCCCCCACAGGACACCGTACTTCATTTCTTTTTCTCCCTTTTTCTTTCGAGTGTTAAAATGAGCTCCGATCCCTTTTATTCCTTTTTCTTTCGGAACCGAGAGTGTATTGCTGTCTGGAAATCGGAATCACAGCCGGCGACTGTCAGTAGGTGACTTCTAACCGACCCTAAACAAGTAAGTCTCCCTCTTCTCTTGTACGTTCGATTTACCAGATGGCTAAAGAAGTGGTTAGGGTAGAGGATATTGAGTGTTCGTTAACCCATGATAGGCTAAGCGACTTAGAAAACCACTACAGCCTTACGGCCGTCAACCCCACACTACCAGAAGACCACGAAAAGGCCAACACTCCCCCCCTGGGGAAAATCACAATTTATGAAAATTTTTTGGAATACGGGCTGCACTTTCCCCTGATGCCTATGTTCCGGAGGATAGTGGAAGCCTACGGCCGGCCCTTAGCCCAATACACCCCGAACCTAATAACCATAGTGTTAGCCTTCGTACATGTATGTAACAAGACAGGGGTGGAGCCGGATGTCCTTTTGTTTAGATGTTTTTACAAACTCGTCCAATGTGGGAAAAGTTTCCCCGGATGGTTTAGCTTTACCAAGAATCCACACGGACCCTCCAAAGAACTAGTAGCGAAGAACAAGAGTTCCAAACATTGGAGGTCGGGGTTCTTTTATGTGGACGCGGACTTTGTCTCCCTTTTTCCGTGGACGTTGGACGAGGAAGGGACGATCAGCCTAGACCCGTAGACCAAGAAGGATAAGAAAGACATGGAAGCCCGGAGGGGGGACTTGGAGAGATTGTCGGGTGGAAGAAGACCTATACTTATAGGCAAATCGCATCATTAGGCGATACGATCAGCTCTCGTAACCAAGGTATTCTATCCGAAGACTAACTTTGTTTATTTCTCTGTTGATAGGTATATTTGCTAATCTGATGGGTAAACGCTCGGCTTTTGACGATTCAGACGAGGAAGAACAATATCCCGAGGAGAGGCCACAAGGAACTCCTCAGCCGGAGATGGGACAAGAGCCCCCCAGTCAGATGACGAGGGCGCATGCTGAAAGTTTGAGGAAGAGGAACCCCTCGGGCCAAACCTCAGGTCAGCAAAAGAGGAAGCGGAGAGACCCGGAGGTAGTGGAGGTCGACCCGTTGTCATTTAGCCTACCCGCGATCCACGAGTTATCTTCCATTGACGAACTTTTGAAGGAAGGATACGCGGATCAAGGGCGGGGAGCCGAACTGTTTGAGGACGTGCCTGCAGGCCACGTCCTGCTAACATTCGACCCTCCGCGGGTCGAATGTGCGGACCTGCCCGATGCCGGGGTGCCGAGGCTGGAGGACGGCATGAGACAGGTAGAATTTTTCTACAAGTATTTTCCCCTCGTAGTTGGGGGTTTCATTACTGACCTAGGGTGCCCGTTATGCAGGCTGTGCAGGCAGTGAATTCGTTCGTGACCGTGTGCGCGGACTTGGAGGGGCAGCTATTCTTCAGCCAAGCGGAAGGCCACAGGCGAGGCCAACAGGGCCAGAGAGGCGGAGACGTGGCTCCAGGCCTTAGAAGGGGAGAGAGGGCGCCTGGAAGAGGAGAGAAGGTGCCTGGAAGAGGAGGTTACGAGGATGAAGGGGCAGCTCGAAGGCATGGAGCTGACCCATAGTCTTCAAATGGAGAGTTTGCTGGCTACAAGCGTCCCCAAATCTCGCCTGGAAGCGTACATCCTAGCGGGGGTCCAGAGGTACCTGGGGTCGTCCGAGTTCGCCCTCGGGATAAACGACGTCATGGACCCCGCCATAGAAAGGGGGCGAGGAAGGTCGTATTGGAGATCGAGGCGGCCCAGAGGAAGAACGAGGACATCCAACCCATCCTCGACAAATATGCTGATAGAGAGATGAAGGAGAAGACGTCTGCGGTACGGCTGCGGTGTAAGGCCCGGAAGCACTTTCGGGATATGGACTTTGTGCACCTCCCCATTATGCAGCAGATTGCCAGGACTTGCCCCTCCGTCTCGAAGCCCGAAGACATATTGGACATCCCGGGCAACCCCTCGTTCGTCTTCCAGATGCCGAGGGGGACGCAGACGCCTCCGAGCATGCCGCCGAGGCCCGATGAGGAGCCGAAGATAGTTGCCTCTGTACCTCCACCCCAAGGGCACAACTCCGAAAGCCGAGGAGGAGGGGGAACCTCGACAGACTCCAACGCCCACAGTGGAGACAAGGTGAACGATGCATAGGGTTAGGATTCATAGTGATCACCTGTCTTCGGGCCCCCCCCCCTTGTATCTAAAGTTTTAATCGAATGTTAATGAAATTTTTATTTATTCATAATCGATTTGTTGTTTCCTCGTTCCTTTATTTCAAACTAGTTATGTTCATTTATTTTACCAAGTGTCTGTTCCTTGGCATAAGCTTATTTTCCCCTCTGGAAATGCGCGCCCCCTGACCTTATCATTAACGCGCGCTTCCTTATAGGGGAAGAATGCAACTTCGGACTTCCCCCCTCAGCCCGAGGGAATCTCTTGAGGAGTGCCCGTGACTCCTGGTCAATGGGAAACATCCGGGATTCCCTGGATCGACTTACAATTGCGCGATCCCCATCATGACCCGACGACCTTACCACTGTATGCAGCTGTAGAAAGTGCCTTGGTGGATCCGAACGTCGATAGGAGCCAAGGACGACTGTCAGGTCTCGAGGGCCAGCTAGAGGAAGCCTTACAAACTTTCAGGGCCTCAGAGCTACACGAGGCACGTAAGGCCCTCATCGAAGCGAAGGCCAAGAACGACTGGCTGGACAAGTTGTGGAGGGATACGGAGGCCTATTGGGAGGACCACCTGAAGAACTCTATACAGTTAGAGATGTTGGCTAACAATCGCCTTCGGACATTCGAAGCCAAGATACGGAAGAAGAAGAAGGACGAGGGTCTAGCCGAACCCGACCCGGAGGATTTTGTCCCGTGCAACTATTTTGAGAGTGTCCTGGTACATCTCCGGAAGGCTAACGCCTTGGTTGCTGTGAAGTGGGATCGGTCCTCTAACAAGATCGAGGCTCTTCGGGCGTATGCTGGTCAGCTTCGAGCAGCTTTGGAAAGCGGGATATCCTTCATCGTAGAGACGGGAAGGAATATGATTTTGAGGCACTGTGGCCCGAACCCTGTCCACCCATGCGGGACGACCCCACTTTTCCGAACGCTTAATATATGAGAACGACGCTCTATTCTTCGAGTTGGGTCGGGGGTCTCATTAGGGACGTGTAATTAGGTTAGGTGATTTTTGGTGTATTTTTGCTAAATGTATAGATCCGAGGGCTATGCCTTCGAAAATTCACACATATAATTGATTCATCCTTTTTGAACATCGGCTTATTTCTTTTTTTTTTACTTGTTTTATTATTATTCTTGCTTTTACGGTTGTGTATATAAAATTCTGTTTATTGCCGACGCTCTTTGCTATGGTCTGACGGAGGTGATACGAGTACCTTCCCCCGGATTTTATATTTCAACCGCATTACTAATGTTATTCTAATTTAGTCGATGCTTAGTTAAACCGTACCTGACGGAGGATCGTGGGGGCCTTCGGGGTTCCGTAGGCTGCGGAGGCCACACGGTGCTGTCGGCCACTGGGGTCGAGACGGCTTTGTAAATGCCCCAAGGTCACGGAGACCGTAGGGGTTCCGCAGGCCGCGGAGGCCACGCGGTGCCGTCGGCCACTGGGGTCGAGACGGCTTGGTAAATGCCCCAAGGTCACTGAGACCGTAGGGGTTCCGCAGGCCGCGGAGGCCACGCGGTGCCGTCGGCCACTGGGGTCAAGACGGCTTTGTAAATGCCCCAAGGTCACGGAGACCGTAGGGGTTCCGCAGGCCGCGGAGGCCACGCGATGCTGTCGGCCACTGGGGTTGAGACGGCTTGGTAAATGCCCCAAGGTCACGGAGACCGTAGAGGTTCCGCAGGCCACGGAGGCCACGAGATGCCGTCAGCCACTGGGGTCGAGATGGCTTTGTGAATGCCCCAAGGTCACGGAGACCGTAGGGGTTCCGCAGGCCGTGGAGGCCACGTGGTTTCTTGAAGGATGGCATCTGTACGAAGGCACAGGAAGTAGTTTATTAACAGCAAAAGTGCCAGAGTTCTGCTCGGCTAATATCTATTATAAAAGCAGGCAGGAGCCTTCAGATATTGAACTTCCTGAGGTTCTGGATGTTCCACCATCGGGGAATGTCGCGGGGCTCGTCGTCACACGTACGCAGGCGATAACTCTCTGAGGGAGAAACTTCCACAACCTTGTATGGCCCTTCCCAATTCGGAGCTAACTTTCCGGTCGACTCAGCGTGGCTCACCTCGTTTCATCGAAGGACTAGGTCTCCGACTTCAAAGTCCCGAGCCCGGACCTTGGAATTGTAGTACTTGGCCACAATCTGCTTGCGATAACTCCCTGAGGGAGAAACTTCCACAACCTTGTATGGCCCTTCCCAATTCGGAGCTAACTTTCCGGTCGGCTCAGCGTGGCTCACCTCGTTTCGTTGAAGGACTAGGTCTCCGACTTCAAAGTCCCGAGCCCGGACCTTGGAATTGTAGTACTTGGCCACGATCTGCTTGTATTTGGCTTCGCGGGCTTTGGCCAGGTCTCGCCGTTCGTCCAGGAAATCGAGCCACAGGCGGATTTTGTCTTTGTTCATTTCTTCTGCGAAGTTGACCACCCGGTGACTGGGCACCTCTATTTCGACGGGGAGGACAGCTTCCATGCCATAGACGAGGCTGAAAGGGGTTGCCCTTGTGGCCGTCCTCATAGTGGTACAGATGGCCCAGAGGATGTGTGCCAGCTCCTCGAGCCATAGCCCCTCGGCTTTCTTAAGCCGTGTCTTCATGCATTGTAAGATGGCCTTGTTTATATTTTCAGCCAATCCGTTGGCCTGAGGATGGGCCACGTACAAAAACCGCTGTTCGATCCCGTGCTGCTCGCACCAAGATGTAAAAATTTTTGATTCAAACTGAGTTCCGTTGTCTGAGACGAGGACCTTTGGATCCCAAACTGGCAGACTATGTTCTTCCAGAAGAATTTGGCCACGTTTGCCCCTGCGGTGGAGGCCAGAGGTTCCGCTTTGACCCATTTAGAAAAATAGTCAATTGCAACAATCACGAACTTGAGCTTACCCGGGGCCACTGGGAAAGGCCCTATTATGTCCGTTCCCCAGTTGTAGAAAGGCCACGGGCTGCCAATAGGGACCATCTCATGTTGGGGGAGACGCAGGATAGGGGCATGTTTTTGGCACTGCGCACACCGAAGGACAATATTGTAGCAATCCTGGACAAGGTGGGCCAATAGTATCCGGCGCGGATCAGCTTCTTGGCCAGATTACGCGAACCTAAGTGCGCCCCACAAGCGCCTTCGTGCATGCTCCGGATCAATGTTTCAGCTTCTCGCGGCCCCACACAGTACAGCAAGGGCGTCAGATACCCTCGCTTGTAGAGGATGCCATCCCTCAGCAGGTATTTAGGCACCTTGAGCCGAATCTTCCGGCCCTCCCTTGGATCAGCGGGCAATGCCCCAGTTCGGAGGTACTGGACAAAGGGTGTCATCCAAGAGGCCTCGTCCATCACCACAGGCAAGACTTCATCGTCCAGGATACTCGGACGCGTCCTGCCCTCCATGTGAATCTGCTGTGCTAAGCTTACGGCACGGGAAGAGGCCAGCTTGCTCAAGGCGTCGGCCCTCTTGTTTTGTGACCCCGGTATGTACCGAATGTGGAAGACACGAAAGCCGCGCTCCAACGCCCTGACTTTCTGAAGATACTTTTGGAGCACCACCTCCCGAACTTCGTACAGCTGAAGGACATGATTTACGACCGCCAGGGAATCGCTGCAAACTGAGACTTCCCGAACACCGAGAGCGCGGGCGATAGATAGCCCCGCGATCAGTGCTTCATATTCGGCCTCATTGTTCGTGGCAGGGAAATCCAGCTGAATGGCATAAACAATTTCTGACTCGTGGGGATCGATTAAAACCACACCCGCGCCTGAACTTTCTCTGGATGCAGACTCGTCGACAAACAAAGTCCATAGTTGCGGTCCGGCGGGTGAAGATTCTTCAGGGTCTTGACGACATTCATTGACCACAGCTTCTACCCCCCGAGGAACTTCGACAAGGAAATCGGCCAAGTCTTGGCCCTTGATAGAGGTTCGGGGCCGAAATTCTATATCATGCTCCCCGAGTTCCACAACCCACTTAGTCATCCGTCTCGACACGTCGGACCTTCGGAGAATCTACTGTAGGGGCTGATCCGTAAGAACAAGGATTCGGTGCACCTGGAAGTAGGGGCGCAACTTCCGGGCCGCAGTCACTAGGCAAAAAATCAACTTCTCAGCAGGGGCGTATCGAGACTCGGCGGGAAGAAGGACCTTACTGACATAATAAACAGGGATCTGTGCTCCCTTATGTTCTCGCACCAAAGCTGCACTCACAGTAGATTCACCCACGGCTAAATACAAAATCAGAGTTTCCCCCGGGTCTGGCGTGCTCAGGGTCGGGAGAGTCTTCAAGTGTTCTTTAAGTTTCATGAAGGCTTTCTGACAAGCCTCAGTCCAGCCGAAGATATCAGACTTCTTGAGAACCTGGAAGAAGGGCAAGCTTCGTTCGGCCGCCTTTGACAGGAATCGCCCTAAGGCGGCAATTGAGCCTGCAAGCTTTTGTACTTCCTCGACGGACCACGGAGGCTGCATCTCCAGGATGGCTTTAATCTTTGTAGGATCTACATCAATCCCCCTCCGAGAAATCTGATAACCAAGAAACTTCCCTGATCCGACGCAGAACACACATTTCTTCGGATTCGGCTTCATGTTGGCCGCTCTGAGGGTCTGGAAGGTCTCCCGGAGGTCCTTGACAACAAGGTCCATCCTACGACTTTTCACCACCATGTCATCCACGTAGGCCTCTATGTTCCGTCCCAGCTGGTCCCCGAAGACGCGATTAGCCACATGTTGATAAGTGGCGCCCGCGTTCTTGAGACCGAAGGGCATTTTGACGTAGCAGAACACTCCCCTTTTGGTGACGAAGGCCGTCTTTTCGACATCATCCTCATGCATCAGGATCTGGGGGTACCCTTTGTACACATCCAGAAAGCTAAGCACCTGGTATCCCGAGATAACGTCGACCTTCTGCTCGATTGCCGGAAGAGGGTAGCAATCCTTGGGACAGTGCTTATTGAGATCCTTATAATCCACACACATACGCCAAGAAGAGTCGG